CATTCCAGAAAAATGAAACAGCGTTTTCAGAGGTTGTATTTTTGTGTGGGTGCAAGACATTGTTTGTGTAGCTGTTAATGAGGATTTATTGAGCACTTACCACATTCCAGGCACTCTACGTGTATTTAATCCTCATCTTATCTGCATTGTTATAAAAGAAGGACGTAAGGCCCAAGGAAGGCGTAGCCCCGAGACCCACAGACAGTAAAAAAGAAAAGCCAGAACTAGAACCTAGGTTTGTCTCATCCCCAAACAGTGTTCTTTCCACAGCCCCAGCCTTAGAGCGGGAAATTAACAGCAAAGGGACCCGCCCCCTGCTCCCGACCTGCCCTTTGGCACACGGACTCTCCCTGGCTCTAGGATTGGTTCAGAGGTGAGCACGTGACCCAAACTAGTCCAATCCGAGTGACTTCTGAGCCTTGCAGCCACGCTGTCGGAGGAGTCCTTAGTCCTGCCTGCGATTGAAGGGGGCTGGGCCACTGGGGTGAAGCTTTGGTTGTGGAGGAGATGTGGGTGGCGCTGTGGCCGTGGTCTTGGGGGCTGGGGCTGCAGGTGTAGGGGGTGGGAGACCCGATGCGCCCAACTGATGTGAGGAGTTGGGAGTGGGTCAGGAGCCTCAGCCCTAGCTTGGCATCTGGTGGCCGGCAGTGCCCTTGACTGAATCCGGCAGGCAGAGCCCATTTGTGGGGGAGACCGCGCTATAAATGAAACGGGAGAGTCAGGCACTACTTGTACTTTCAGTAATAGCCGCCCACAAGGCTCGCAGACACAGTGTGTTCCAGGTGGGTCATCGGCAACGGCATTTCATGTCACGGTAATAAACAGGCGACTGAGATTACAATAAAAAACCAGTTTGGACTTCTCCTTGGAATGGCACGGTGCCTATCTGAATAATGATGCGTTCTTTCAGTACCTCCGCATGCCAGGCTCGCTCCAGCCTCGGGCTTTGGCACACCCAATTCCTTTTGCCTGACAAGCTCTTTCTCCATCTGTTCCCCTGGCCACCTTATCGTCCAGGTCTCAGCAGAAGTGCCACTTTTCTCACAGGCTTCTGTGGACCCCCGAGGCTGGGCTCAGAGCCCCTCCTCCTGGGCTTCTGTGGGTCCCATTTACCAAGCGAAGGACTAGGCTGCGAGCCTGCCAAGGGCAGGGACGCCTTTCCTGGAGGTCTCTTCTCTCCTTCTAGTGCCTAACACAGTGCCTGGCATTTGCTTGTACCCCGAGAATACACGGAAGTCGGGGATTGTGCCTGAATCATCCCTGCACCTGGGCTCCAGCCAGGGCCAGCTTTATGGGCTTGTGACCATCACAGTCAAACAGGGCCCTGTGCTCAGAAGGGCCTTGTGCTTGGGTTTTAATGCTCTGTGTTCATCATCTTGAAATTCTTGATGATTGTATCTTTGATTTGCGTTTTGTAAGTGAAGTGTGATGGGACATGCCCTGGGTGCCTGGAACCTCAGCTCAGGTGCAGTCCTGCCTTCCATTGCCTTCCAGGATGGGTTCTTGGACGCTTACTGTTCTGCCCTGTGGTGCCAAGGACACGGCGCCCGTGAGCACTGCTGCCCTCTGCCCTGCAGGGGCATGAGCACAGGCGTATGGAGGGTTGTGGTCAGGCATAGACACTTGATAACATCTTGTAACTGGCATGGTCCCCACCCTGGGTTAAGTACAACGGTGGTGGGTGGCCAGCCAGAGGCTGTGTCTCAAAGAGGTCAAGTCTGATCCAGGTTCCAAGCCCATGTTAGCATCAAGGCTTAAAGATCCTCGAGGATCACCCATCTCCCATGGGTTGGGTAGCAGACTGTGGGAAGGAGAGATGCCTGGCTGGACTTCCCCAGACCCTGCCTGGGTTAGAGCGCGGTGTCAGGCTAGTGACTGGGGTGGGGGTGGGGGGTGAACCCAGCATTCATCAAACAAGAATGTAGGCACTTAACAGGGGTGACCCATGGGCGCCTGTGAGCTTCTGCGCTCTCCTTGCTAGTTCCAGGCCTCTGAGAGTGCTCCCGCAGCTGGCTCTGTGCCTGGAGGGGTGGGGGGGGGGGGGGAGCAGGCTCTCGCCTCTTCTTCTTTCAACCTTCCTGTGTCTGACTTGTTTATCTCCTGTGGCTAGCTCTAGGCACCCATCTGGGATGAACCACATAATACAAATTGTGCAATTTCAGGGATTTTGTTTATGAATTGAATGCCCTGGTATTTACATTTAGAACTGGAATTGAACAGTGTACAGATGAACAGTAAATTCATGCTAATAATTTAAAATCTGTATTTTTCTTTACTTAGAATGACACCAAATAGCAAAGCAACAGCCCATGAGAAATCAAGAGAGAGGCCATGGTGGAAAAGAAGAAACTCTCGATGTGCTTTTTTTTTTTTTTTTTTTTTTTTAATGAGCACGTTTTTCCTGTTCTTTGAACAAGGAGCTCTGAATTTGCATCCTGCACTGGCCCCGCCATAGCTCTTGTTTGTTGAATGAAGGACTAAATAAATAAATATTTGTATGAAAAAGCGGAACACACTCATTATTTTCTATTTCCGGACAGCGCCGTCCGTAATCAGGATCGCCGGCACGTTGTGAAACGCAAGAACGTCTGAGTAATACATCTACTCATCAGTCACACGTGCCTGTTGTGGACTTATTTGCCATATGTCTCAAGGGTCATCACAGGATTCTTAGTATCTTCATTCTGGTCTCACTCCAGATTTGGTTCTGGTCCTGCTGGAGTAGCTCGTATCAGGCTCATCCGTCCACAGACAACAACTATAAACTCTGGACAAAATTTTAAAGCAGTTTAAAGATGCCAGAGAGCAAACAAAAGCGGACAGAAACTAGCGACTTCAACTCATGAAAACAGTAAACGTACTGACCGTGACACACACACACACACACAGACACGCACACACGCACGCACACGCATGCATGACAGAGGGACATCAGCTTTGTGGGAGGAAGACCCTTGTTCATCTTGTTGATGGACACAGAAGATACCCAATACGTTTTTGTTGGCAAATGCATGTTTGGTTTGGTGTACATCTTTTTTTTTTTTTTTTAATTTTTTTTTCTAACGTTTATTTATTTTTGAGACAGAGAGAGACAGAGCATGAACAGGGGAGGGGCAGAGAGAGAGGGAGACACAGAATCTGAAGCAGGCTCCAGGCTCTGAGCTGTCAGCACAGAGCCCGACGCCGGGCTCGAATTCACAGACCGCGAGATCATGACCTGAGTCGAAGTTGGACGCTTAACCGACTGAGCCACCCAGGCGCCCCTCTTTTTTTTTTTTTTTTTTTTTTTTAAGTCAGGTTTATAGAAGCATAATTCAGCTAGAGTAAAAGTCACACTTTTTAGTTGTACCATTTGATGGGTTTTGACAACCCTGTATGGTTGTGTAACCTCCAGTACAATCAAGATATTGAGAATTTCCCATCGTTGCCAAAAGTACCTTCTTGTTCCTCGGCAAGCAGTCCCGCCCCCAGCTCCAGCCCCTGGCAATAGCTGACCTGATTTCTGTCACTGTACCTTGGTCTTACTCTTTTTCAGAATATTGTAGAAATGGAATCCTACCGAATGTAGCTTTTTTGTGTCTGACTTCTTTCGCTTGGGTGAAAGCTTTGAGATTCATCCACATTGCTGCATGCGTTGGTAAATCATTTGTAATATGGCTGGGTAGTATTCCGCTGTGTCAATGTATCTTCATGGGTGGACGTTGGGTTGTTTTGAGTTTGGGGCTATTATTCATAAAGCTGCTCTAAGTCATTGCATGTGGGTCTTTGTGTGGATGTATTTAATTTCTCTTGGGTAGCTCTTCCTAAATACCTAGGAGTAACAGACTCGGGTCACGTGTTGAAATTCGTAAGAAACTGCTAAACTGTTTTTCAAAGCAGCTGTACAAGCAGAGTAATGAGGGTTCCGGTTGCTCCATATCCCCGCCAGCACTTGGTATTGCCAGCATTTAAAGACATTTTTCACCATTCTAATACGTGTGTGGTGCCACCTCATTGTGGTTGAAATGCACATTTAGGTAGTGACTAACGATGTTGAGTGAGCATTTTTTCCCACCCTTATTTTGCCAGCCACATCACCTCATTTTGGTGACGTACACGTTCAAATCTTTTGCTCATTTAAAACATTGGATTGTTTCTTTTCTTAGTATTGAGTTGTGGGAGTCCTTTATATATTTGGGATAGAGATTTTTATCAACGAATGCATTTTGCAAGTATTTTCTCCGGCCCGTGACTTGTTTTTCATTCTCTTAATAATAAATTTTCAAGAGCAAAAATTTTAAATTTGATAAAATCCAATCTACCTTTTTTTTTTTTTTATAGTTTGTGCTTTTTGTGTCCTAAGGAATCGTTGCCTAAAACAAACTCACAAAGATTGTTCTTCTGTGTTTTCTTCTCGAAGTTTTACAGTTTTGAGTTTTGTACATTTAGGTCTATGATTAATTTCAAGTGGTTTTTTTTTTTTTTTTTTTTTTGTATATGGTGTGAGAAAGGGACTGAGGTTCATTTTTTTGTATGTCCAATTGTTCCAATATCATTTGTTAGAAAGACTATTCTTTCTCCATTGAATTACCTTTGCATCTTTGCTGAAAATCAATTGGCCACATACCTATGGATTTACTTCTGCTAAACTGTTGGGCTCTGGACTCCTGAACTATCTCTTCTTTCCATTTATTGATGGGTCTAACCTTTATACCAGGACTACACTGCCTCGATTACCAGAGCTTTATAAGACGTCTTGAAATCAGGTAACAAGGTAACATAAGTTGTCCAACTTTGTTCTTTTTTTCAAAATCATTTTGGCTATTCTAGTTCTTTTGCCTTCCATATAAATCTTAGAATCAGCCTCTCAGAAAAAAAAAAGGCTATTTGGATATAAATTGATACTATGTTGAATCTATAGATCAATTCAAAGAGATCTAACTATATTAAGTCTTCCAACCCATAAACCCAGTATATCTCTTTCTTTATCTCGGTCTTCTTTGATGTCTCTTAATACTTTATCATTTTATAGTTTTCAGTACATAGATCTTGTGCATATTTTGTTAAGTTTATCTATAAGTATTTCATGCTTTTTGATGCTATTTTAAAGATTAAAA